CAGGGACTAAGGCTTGAGCCAATGTCTGACTCTAAAATATGTGCTCTGACCTATACACCCAGAGAAGGGTATGATCTTCTAGGCTGGGGGAACAAGTGCAAAGGCATGGACATGAGAGAAATAATTCAGAACCCATGATTTTGGAAAACACAATTGGAAATCCAGGTTTTGCCTGGGGATCCTAGTGCAGGGATGGCTAGACGTGTAGAGAACTGGGCAGAAGTGAGCTTGTGAACCACAAGCTTGGTTCAGACTGCAAATTCCCAGAAACATAACAATTTGCACCTCCCAGTCAGAGGTTTAGATCATTGTGTAAAAATGCTGTTTTGCCCAGTTTTTAGAGTACTACCTGCATATGTACAGCACAGCATTGTTGAGAGGGCACCTGTCCATGTATTTGCTCCTTTGATACTTGCCACAATTCTGTGAAGCTGTCTGGTGTTCATTTCTGATCCGTGAAGTAGGCCGGTGTTCATTTTTGATCCTTTGCTTGCAGAGCATAAACTAAGGCCTAGAAAAGTTACGTGAATTGCTTAAGATCACATACTGACAAGGGACAGGTAGCATTTATACTGAGGCTTTCTGAACCTTGTTCAGTTCATATTTTACTATGCATCCTAGCATTCAACCCAATGGGCATTTAAAAAGTACTGTGTTCATAGAATAATAACATATTATGTTCTTGAGTTTTATTCCCAATTTGAGTAAAGGGAAGAAATTGTAAGGATGAGCTGTTAAAGTTGATATTTATATTTGTTAGTACTTTGTATTGTTGTTTTCAGGGAAAATCCAACTAACTACTTATAGAGAAGAGTTAATAAATGGCTGAAAAATATAGAAGAGAACTACAATTTCTCTACAATTTTCACATTTTAGATGAAAGATGAGTGATTGCAATTACCTTCCCAATCTCTATTTCATAAGGCAACTGGTAGTTTATCCTATTGAGAAGCATTTAATAGTATATACCTACTTAACAGAAATATCTGTTCTTGATTTCAACTATTTTGCAGCTTTATTTTGAGTGGTTTATGGTTTTTAGGAGGAAGGAATACCTGTAAAATGCATTTGGAAATTATTGTTCTGTAGTTTCAATTAAATTTGAGAGTGAGAAAATGCCTTTCAATTGTATATATCTCTTTATAGTATTTGCATACCAAATGTCCATTGCTGTCTGTATTTTGCAATGGGATATAACTAGATAATATTTTTTTGTCCTTAGCATTCTAAGACTTTCTATCTTAGATGTAAGAAGTGATTCATCTGATTTACTTTTTATATTAAAGTACAATATAGCTCAACACATTGCTTGGAAATGCAACCTAACGATAGAGATAAACTTCATATGGGCTTAGCAAGTTCTGTTTGGAGAGAGTATATAGAAATTGAGACAATATAATATTTGATTTAATTTTCTGTTAAAAAATTTTCCATGGTAAGAACAATATTTTTCTACGTACATCAGTGAGCAACAATGATTTCTTCAAAGCTTCTGAAGCCAAATATACAACTGCATGTTCCAACACAGGTTGCTGAGTTTATTACCAATACTCTTGGTAATGTGTACTGTGTATTACTGAAAATGAATAAAGAATAGTTACAATGGTGTATACCGTCTTTGCAGGTTAATACTAAAATACATTGTTTCACTTTTTTACCTGGCCTGCCTTCTGGCTATAGCTGCACTGCATACTTAAGGGGGCAATTGAAGCATAGATCTTTTATCTTAAGGATTTGTAACATACCTAAGACCTTACTTTATAGAATTCTATAGTGAAATGAAACTATTTTCTTTTTCTTTTCTAGGTTCAGCTCAGCTAATATTTAATATAACCGACTCTGTAGAATACACCAAAGATAATAAAACTATTCTCATCCCATGCATAGTCAATAATTTGGGGTCAAAGAGCCTTGAAGAAATGTTTGTAAAGTGGAAATTCAGAGATAAACAAATTTTCTACTATGATGGATATAAAGATGAATCCAAGTCCACCAGTGACTTTTCGAGTGCACACATCGTATCAGACACACTGCTATCAGGCAATGCCTCATTGATTATGGACAAGAGCGATGCTGTCCCAGGAAACTACACTTGTGAAGTAACAGAATTAACTAGAGAAGGCGAAACCACCATAGAACTAAAATATCGTATTGGTAAGAATTTCATAATCTTCCCTTTTATTTGTCCTGCAGTGGCCTAATACTATGAGAAATGGGGCACAATGGGCAAATAAAAATTCTTAGCATCGAGAATAGGCTGTCAAACTTCGTAAGACAGCCAGGCTGTATTGCTAATGGCTCGGGCCCCGAGAGCTGGACTTTTCCCAACTCCTTCACTCATTGGTGAAATCGGTCAATGGCGTAGTGTCAATTATGTAAAACTCATGTCCAAATGTTGCAACAGAACATGAAGAAATTACTTCCAGGGCTATCTGCAACCTCAGAATGGATTAGGCACCCACCCACTCACCACTATCTCCCAAACTGAAACATTCCAACTCAGCTTTTGAGCAGGACAAGTGGTTCAACATCACAGCTGCAGGGTGCTAAGAGGCAGCCTAGGGAGGAAGCTCTGCATTGCTTCTGCAGAGATTTGTTAGAAGGAGAATCACAAAATTAAAATCAGGCCATAATGATGTTTCCTTGAGGTTTCCTGCTATGGTGTTTGTTCTATTTTTTGGTCAAGATGAGGGAGAGCTAGGGATCCAATAGAATTAATTAGAATTCAGCCTTGGTTATAGCACCATGATTGTGCCCTTCTTCACAGACTTGGGCTGGGGAGTTGCATAAAGCAGTAAAGCTAGCTGAAGTAAACAGTCTGCTTTCTTTCTAGTCCTTGCCATGCCAGCTGATTACTTTAGCCACATACAGGTGCATACTGACTTTCTATTTTGAAAGCTCTATTTAGAACCACTAGTCATATTACTGCTCTCAGGAATTGACGAGCCTTTGAGAACCTATGCTTTAGATGGGATAAGATCATTCAGTTGAATCAACTATTTGCCTTCTATTCTTCTAGAATTTCCTGTTATGAAATGTCTATTACCAGATTGGGAATGGGGTGTTTATTCTGATGGAATACTTTGACATTGTTTAGGATTAGGAATCAGGATATCTGATTCTGCAACTTAACTATTTGCCTCTATTGAACTTGAGAAGTTACTTCACTGGGCCCAAATTACCTCATCTCTACAATGGGGATGAAAAGAGATTCCTGCTTTCATGTATTCTCCAGTCTAAGAAGCATCATGAGATTCCCTGTGTACCAGTCCTTTGCAAACCAAAGTACAGTGCTTTACAAATGTTAGGTGTCGTCCTGGGACATTTATTTTATGAAGTTGAATGAGTTGTTGAAGCTGGGTGTCATGAAAGGGGTGTCTGTGTGGTGCAGCATGGACAGGAGATGGCTAAGAGCAGAATTTGGAAGGCTTTTCTGCTCAAAAATCTCTCCATATTGAAAATCTCATTAACTCACAGTGGGAGAGGGAGATTTTGGAGTAGAGTG